TTCAGTCACTCTCTGACTTATATAAGCATTTAGATTTCCCAGCATATTTCAACTCTTATTCTGGTTCCTGTCCTGTCTTCACTTCCACAACTGCTGTGCTCCCACAAGGAGTGGATCTTCTGGGAGCCACTTCTAAGATAGTTCAATATGAATTTTTAACTGAAAAAAAATGAGAGAAAAATTAAGCTTTAGTAATGTCTAAATCAAGACTGATAATAGCATATGTATAAAATGTGTAGCTATATATAGAAAACATATACCAAAAATTTTTTATAGTTATGCATGTGAACAAAATTTGGAGACCACTGCTCTTGAAACTGAGGGCCCCTCCCCTGTCACTTTTGGGCATGTGACCTGATGGTAGTCGGGAGAAGGAATCCAAGGGGCACTTACATGAAGAGAAGCACAATATTGTTACTGCTTCATCTAAGAGCTTTTTTTTTTTTTTTTTTTTTGAGAAAGAGCCTCATTCTGTCACCCAGGCTGGAGTGCAATGGCACAATCTTGGCTCACTGCAACCTCTGCCTCCTGGGATTCAAGCAATTCTTATGCCTCAGCCTCCTACATAGCTGGAATTACAGGTACATGCCACCACACTTGGCTAATTTTTGTATTTTTAGTAGAGACAGGGTTTTACCATGTTGGCCAGGCTGGTATCAAACTCCTAACCTCAAGTGATCCACCCACCTAGGCCTCCCAAAGTGTTGGGATTACAAGCATGAGCCACCATGCTTGGCCCACTCACTCAATTTTTATAAAGTAAAAATGGGACACCAAAAAACTCCTTACACACTCTTAACAGCAAATAAGAAATAAACCATTTAATCTCCTTGCAGGTTCATCTTGCCCAGGGTTTTCTTTCTAATAGAGGCAACAAATAGACTTTTGAAAAATTTATCCCAGATCGTCTTCTAGGAAAGAGAAGACAGAGTTTGAGCATTAGCCATAGAGAGGATTGGTTTAACTCTGTGACTTTTGGATATGTGACCTAGAAGTTGTCAAAATAACAGCAAGTAAGTCTTTTAAAAAATTAATTAGTTTATAATCTAAAAATAATGTATCATTAGTCATTAGGGAGATTCAAATCAAAACCATAAAGAGGTACCATTTCATATTCACTAGAATGATTATTAAAATGAAATTTTAAAAAAGAGGGCAGGCATGGTGGCTCACACCTGTAATCCCAGCACTCTGGGAGACTGAGGCGGGCAGATTACCTGAGGTCGGGAGTTTGAGACCAGCTTGACCAACATGGAGAAACCCCATATCTACTAAAAATACAAAATTAGTCAAGCATGGTGGTGCATGCCTGTAATCCCAGCTACTTGGGAGGGTGAGGCAGGAGAATTGCTTGAACCTGGGAGGTGGAGGTTTCAGTGAGCCAAGATTGCGCTCCAGCCTGGACAACAAGAGCAAAATTCTGTCTCAAAAAATAATAATAATTGTTGGTGAGGATGTAGAAAAGTGGAACTCTCATATGCAATGGTACATTCAGCTTTGGAAAAACAGTCTAGTAGTTCCTCAGAAGATTAAACATAGCGTTACCATGTCATCCAGCAATTCCATTCCTATATATATACTCAAGAGAACTGAAAACCTATGTCCACACCAAAAACTTATACATGAATATTGGTGATAACATTTTATTCTCAATAGCCAAAAAGTGGAAACAACCCAAACACCCATTAATTAATAATGGATAAACAAAACTTTGTATATCTATATGGTAGAGTATTATTCATCAATAAAAAGAAATGAAGAGCTGATCCTTGCTACAATATGATGACCTCTGAAAACAGAAGCCAGTTCCAAAAACCACATATTTTGTTTCTGTTTCTATAAAGTACTAAGAATAGGCAAACCCATAGAGACAGAAAGATTGGTAGCTTCCTAGGACTGGGGATTTGGGAGAAATGGGAGTGACACCTAACCAGTACATGATTTATTTTGGGGGTGATGGTTATACAACCCTGTGAATATGCTAAAACCCACTGAAATGTACACTTTAAATGTGTTAATTGTATGGTTTGTGAGCTATATCTCAATAAACAAAGATGTAAGCTGCCAGAAATGTTACACAATACAATAGGACGCAAACTGGATTTAGATCTTTAGATCGGCAAACCCTAGAACCTAATGAGGAAATGAGAAGCCCAGCAGGAAAATGGGCGGAGCCCAGAGAAGGGCTTCTTGCTCTGCGCTACCCTTCAGGCACCGGCCTACTTACCCAGGTGGTACTTCTGTTGGGCCCCACACACACCTGCCTCTCTCCGGATCGCTATTCTCGACTATTTGCATTTTGCTACCCGCCTGACCCTACTTTTTCCGGCTCTGCCCAGGAAAGAGAGCCCTCGGAATGAAGCTGGGCAGCCCCAGAAGGCAGTGCCCATCCAGCTCCACTCTTGCACCCAGCGGCACTTCAATTACCTACTTATGCTGTCTCTTACACCCAGCCATACCCGGTAGTTATTCAAGGACTAGAGAGCAGGAAGCGTGCACTCCAAGAGTGCGCGCCTTTCCCGGCCCTCCGTGGCTTCCCAGTCCCGGACAGAGACCCGAGCGAGCCGAAAGCGGGTGCCCGGCTACGTTGATCTGGGAAGAAGGACCGGACGGTCACAGGCGAGGGAGGACAGCTGGAGAGAGACAGAGAGGGACAAGGGGGTGGGGGTACAGGCGCCCACAGAGCAGAGCCTAAGGTCACCAAGAGGGGCGTCAGGGTCCAAACTCCCACAGCTGGATGGGCTAAAGCACTAGTTTGTCACCCTTTTAATTCGTTTTTGCGGTTTCCGAACTGCCCAATCAAAATTCGAGCCCAGGGTCGCTTGTCACCGGTCTCTGGGCAAAAAGCGCTGTTTTAGATTAGAAATCGGGACTTTCCGGTCCTGGTTTCTCTTTCTTCAAAGCCAGCTGCTTTCCGAGAAATGGGAAGGGCTGGGTTGCTTCCCCCGCCGCACCCCTGCAGTACTTAGATCAGCAACTTCCCATTCTCCAAACAAGTGATTCGCAGTGGTTTTTGCAAGGAAGTCACTTGGAGTATTTATTAAGAGGCTGAGGGCCAGAAGTCCCAGTCTATTTACAAGTACATTTAATATATGAAAAAGCAGCTGGATGCGGCGGCTCACGCCCGTAATCCCAGCACTTTCGGAGGCCGAGGCTGGGGGAATCACTTGAGATCAGGTGACCGAGATCAGCCTGGCCAACATGGTGAAACCCCGTCTCTACTAAAATTACAAAAATTAGCCGGGCGTGGGGGTGCCTGCCTGTAATCCCAGCTGCTCCAGAGGCTGAGGCAGGAGAATCGCTTCTACCCAGGAGGTGGCGGTTGCAGTGAGCCAAGGTCATGCCACTTCATTCCAGTTTGAGCAACAGAGACTCCCTCAGGGAAAAACAAAAACAAAAAAACCCTGCATATAATCTGGGTTTACAAGCACATGTAAAAAAACATGTTTTATATTTTTCGAATATTTTATTTCTTATTATCTACTACCTCTGGCTCATATACACTAAATTTTCCAGGAATATAACTACCAGGCAATTCAAAGTAAGATGTATGTTGGTTTTTTGTTTTTGGAATTTAGAGATTTTCACCATTTCAGAAAATCACGCCAGAACCAGCAATACCATATCTGAATCTGAGCCACCAATACATGCTGCTGAGTCTTCCATGCTGCTGGTTCGCAGAGATCCTGGGCAGTTGCAAGTGTCTGGCACTTCTTTATACCAGCAGTGCAGCCAGCCTAGTGCATTCACAAGCTAAATTACTTAATTTTCATAATCATATTAATAAAAGAATCACCACAAAACAATTGTTATAAAAAGGGGTTATTGGGGAAAAGGAGGCTGCTGAATACGATTGGAATTGAAACCTCTAATCTACACTGAAATCCTGAGGACTATATCCACCTCCGTCTGCCAAGCCTGAGCTTGGATACTGAGTTCCTAGAAATCTGTCAAATAAGGCTCCATTACACAAATGACTTGCTTACGGCACCATTGCTAGGACTCTTCATTCTCTTAACCTTTCCTGGCCTCAGTTAAAAAAAAAAAAACAAACAAAAAAACTTTCATTCTCAAAAACCCTGATGCTGCCAAAAAAGAGCTCTACTTGTAAGGCCTAACTTTGGAGGAACTGTCCAGATGAGTCAGGACCATCTTGATATCTAAAGCCCTTTGGGGAAAGGGATTCTTCCGTAGTTTCTTCTTTCACCAGATCAGTGCCAAGAAGTTTTCTGCTGTACAAAATAAGTATCCCTAATCGAATAACCTGAAATCCTAAATGCTCCAACAGCTCAAACTTTTTGAATGCCAACATGATGCTCAAAGGAAAGGGTCATTGGAGCATTTTGGATTTCACATTTTCACATTAAAGATGTTCAACTGGTAATTATAATGCAAAAATTTCAAAATCCGAAAAAATCCAAAATTTAAAACACTTCTGGTACCAGGCTTTTCGGATAAGGGATACTCAACCTGTATCTCCCTGCTGTGATAATTTGCTCTAATGAGCTGTGAAAATAAGGAACGACTGGAAGTAAAAGCAGTTGCCTAGAGTCTTGCATCTTACCGAGCCCTTCTCATTGCCATCCCCTTCTCAGTACAACCCTAAGAGTGCCTGGCACGAAGTAGACACTCCATATTTATTTAACAAATGACTTAAGTGAATAAATAAGTACATTTTATGATATAGGAATAATTATCCCACTTTATGGATATGGCAACAAAGGGTCAAGTCAGCAATGTGACTCTTTTTCAATTCCTTTTGTGGAATTAGGATTCAAACTCAGGTCTGAGTCCAATGTCATACACACTTTAATACTATCCCCTTAGAAACTCTGAACTTGTAATGGGAGTTTGAGGATGCATGTGTTATGGGCCCAGCAGAGGATGTTAACAGGAAACATGACTCACCCAGATCTGGCTTTTTGAGCCAGTCCTCAGCTTCTGCATAGTTTGCTGCTAACAGCTAGCATCTGCGGATTACCCTCAGTCCTGCAGATTACTCTCAGACACTGGAGGGAACTGGAAGTATCTGGGGGTTTTATGTCTCACCTCATTCCACAATCCTGGATAGCCAAAGACAGGCAGATGTAGAGCACCAAAGCCCAGCTCCTTTGTGTTTGAGGCAGGAAAAACTCCGAGGTGTGTTCTTTGTTCTAGAGCTTCCGGTGTGATCAGGCTGACTGTAGGACTTCTGAAATCACGCTCTTGCTTGGCTTCTTCCCATTCCCTGTCCTTCATCCCCCACTCCTTTGCTGTTTTTTTCCTAGGAGCCCCCCCACCCTTTTTTTTTTTTTTATTATTTTCCTTCACCATCTTAATCTTTCCACTTTGGTTTAGTTTTGTTTTCTTTTTTTTTATTTTTTTTTTGAGACGGAGTTTCACTCTTCTTGCCCAGGCAGGAGTGCAATGGAGCAATCTCAAGGAGTCCTTTCTTAATAAGTCATTTACATCCAAATCTTTGGCTCAGGGCCTGCTTTTGCAAGACCCCACCTAAGACTCTCACTGATTCTTCAGATTATTAAAATGGCATACACATTTGTAGACAGGTAAGGATTCTGTCTTAGTCTTTCTATTGCTATAACAGAATACCTGAGACCAGATAATATACAAGAAAAGAAGCCAGATGCAGTGGCTCATGCTTGTAATCTCATCTTTTGGGGAGGCCGAGGCTAGAGGATCACTTGAGGCCAGAAGTTTGAGACCAGCTTTGGCAACATAGTGAGAACCTGTCTCTACAAAAAGTTTTTTAAAATTAGATATACATGATGATGCATATCTGTAATCCCAGCTACTCAGGATGCTGAGGCAGGAGGATCACTTGACCCCAAGAGTTTGAGGCTGCAGTGGCACAATGACAGAGCAAGATCCTATCTCAAAAAAAAAAGAAAGAAAGAAAAATCTATTTCTTACAGTTCTGGAGGAGGCTGAGAAGTTCAACGCTCAGGGGTTGTATCTAGTTTGCTTTGGGTGAGGGCCTTGTGCCTCAAAACATGGCTAAAGATATCAGATAAAGGCTAGAGGCACCACAACATGGCTAAAGATAAAGGTCTAGAGGGGCACAAGAGATAGAATGAAACTGCCTTTTATAACAGACTTATTCTCAGGATAACCCATTAATCCATTAATGAAGAAGCCCTCATGACCCAGTCACCTCCTAAAGGCCCTGCTTCTTAATACTGTTATATTGAGGATTAACTTTCTTTCCTATTTTTTAATTTATTTTGGATGGATGGAGAGAGAGAGACAGGAGGGAGGAGAGAGAGAGAGAGAGAAGAGAGAGAGAGAAGAGAGAGAGAAAGAGTCTCCTACTATTGCCCAGACTGCTCTTAACTCCTCCTGGGCTCAACCAATCCTCCCACCTCCGCCTTCTAAGTAGCTGTGACTACAGGTGTGTGCCACCACACCCAGCTAATTTTTGTTTGTTTGTTTTCATAGAGAGAGAGGCCTCGCTATGTTGCCCAGGCTGGTCTCAAACTCCTGGGCTTAGGCAATCCTCCAGTCTCAGCCTCCCAAAATGCTGGGATTAGAGGCGTGAGCCACTGTGCCCAGCCAGAATTAAGTTTCTATATGAATTTCAGAGGGGACAAACATTCAAACCATAATAAATAACTAGAAAACCACTTAAACTATGCTATGTCATTTAGTGGCAGCAAAAGTCCTCTCTGTTTTTCTGAGTGAAAACATTAAAAAGAGGAAGTGGTTCATGGGGGAGGGGAAGCCTGCACATCATTGCAGGCTTCATTTGGGCCGGTGTGTCTTACCAAAGACATAGATACCACCTCAGTTTCTTAGACTTTTTAATCATCTATGTTGTAGAGGACCAAAGATGTCTAATCATCGCATCCAACTAATGACAGGAGAATTATAGAGTTTAATGCATAGTAAGTGCTTAATATAAGCTCGACTGTTATTTTCAATTGTATTTACCAGTTTTTTTTTTTTTCTATTAGCCCTTCTTGTAACTCTGCAAAGTACCAGAATAATTTCTATGCACAAACTTTTCAATAAAGGTACTCACAGATACTTTATTATTTATTTTAAGACATCTAGAACCCAGTCTTCAGTTTTTTCCTACAGGTCTAGGCTCCAGGCAAAGACAATATCAATTTTTGCCCCTAAAACTTTGATGGCTGTATTCATAGACAAAATATTTATTTTATTAAAGGAAGAGGCTGTATGCGGTGGCTCTGTAATCCCAGCACTTTGAGAGGTCAAGACTGGAGGATCACTGGAACCCAGGAGTCCAAGATCAGCCAGAGCAACATAGTGAGACCCCCATCTCTACAAAAAAAATACAAAAAAATTAGCCAAGCATGGGTGGTACGCACCTGTGGTCTCAGATACTTGCGAGGCTGAGATGAGAGGATTGCTTGAGTCCAAGAGGTTAAGGCTGCAGTGAGCCAAGATTGTGCCACTACACACAAGCCTGGATAACAGGGTGATACCCTGTCTCAAAAAAGAAAAGAAAGAGCTTGAGTTTTACTTCAAGGGTTTACAACACACTAATGACAAGTAAAAAGCAACAGCCCCAAAATACTGTGAAAGTGGTTGTTAACAAAACTATAAAAGACATGTCCATTTATGACATATTTTCCTTAGGTATCATGAAAAAAGTAAGATATAAAAATTGTTATTTAACAATAACCACTTTTTTTAATAACAATAACCACTTTTTTAAAGGAGGATACAGTTAACCTTTGAACAACACAGGTTTGGGGTGCAAGTGAAGTGTCGTGATCTCTGCTCACTGTGGCCTCAACCTCCTGGGTTCAAGTGATGCAAAAGTTCCCCCCCCCTTTTTTGGAGACAATGTCTTGCTCTGTTGCCCAGGCTCGAGTGCAGTGACACGAACTCCCCTCACTGCAACCTCTGCCTCCTGGGTTCAAGAGATTCTTCTGCCTTGGCCTCCTGAGTAGCTGGGATTATAGGCATGCACCACCACACTCAGCTTATTTTTGTATTTTTATTAGAGTTGGAGTTTCACCGTGTTAGCCACGCTGGTCTAAAACTCCTGACCTCAGATGATCTGCCTGCCTCGGCCTCCCAAAGTTCTAGGATTACAGGCGTGAGCCACCACGCCTGGCCAAGGGTCCACTTTTACGTGGATTTTCTTCCACCTCTGCCACCCCAAGACAATAAGACCAACCCCTTCTCTTCCTCCTCCTCCTGGCCTATTCAATGTGAAGATGATGAGAATGAAGATCTTTATGATGATCCACTGCCACTTAATGAATAGTAAATATATTTTCTTTCTTATGATTTTCTTAAAAACATTTGTTTCTCTCTAGCTTACTTTATTGTCAGAATACAGTATATATACTATATATAACAAAATATGTGTTAATTAACTGTTTATGTTACTGATAGGGGGCTTTCAGTCAGCAATAGGCTATTAGTAGTTAAGTTTTTTTTTTCTTTTTATTAATTTCACTATCTCCAGTAATGGCTATAAGCAAAGTAGTTGAGTTTTTGAGGCATCAAAGGTTATACTTGGATTTTGACTGCATGGGGAGTTGGCACTTCAAACCCCGTATTGTTCAAGTGTTGAGTATCTAAGGAAATGTAAGGACACCTATTTGATAAAAATTAATTATTAAATTTTAAAATTAAGTATTTAAATTAAAACATTTTAAATAACTTTAACATAAAATAGGGAGTGATGTGTACACACTGAGAACCACCTCTAAATGGTAGAATATAGTAGGGTCCAAAAGATGGTAATTTCCATATTATAAGTGATTACAGGGGTTTACACAATTTTTTCTTTTTTCTTTTCTTTTTTTTTGAGACACAGTCTCTGTCACCCAGGCTTGAGTGCAGTGGCGCCATCTCTGCTCACTGCAACCTCTCCATCTCCCAGGTTCAGGCAATTCTCCTGTGCCTCAGCCTCCCAAGTAGCTAGGATTACAGGCATGCACCACCATGCCTGGCTAACTTTTGTATCATTAGTAGAGACAGGGTTTTGCCATGTTGGCCAGGCTGGTCTGAAACTCCTGTCCTCAGATGACCCACCTACCTCAGCCTTCCAAAGTGCTGGGATTACAGGCATAAGCCTCTGTGCCAGCCGTCATTTTTGATGCTGCTGATGATGATAACTTTTGAACAATTCTAAAATTAATTTTCCAAAACACTATTTTTTAATATATCAATTAGCCAAATAGTTCTTCCAGTGATCAGTTTACCTCAAGCTGACAGCCAGGCTCCATCATCCCTTTCACTAACACAGTCTGGGGTGAGACCAGCCTTCTGGCCTGGGGGAGTCAGAAGAGTATTATAGGCTCCATTCTTCTTCTATTTGGCCAGGCCACATAGGTGACAATTGGCTCAGGCACCACATCTTTCAGTCCTTAGAAGGACACAACACCATTCCCACTATTGGCTATGGCTAGCAGCGGTAGGGAAACACCACTGCTTCGGATCTGAGCCTGTCCCACCTCCCCTCCTACCCTACCACTCCCAATCTACCCCAAAATTCCTCTCCTCTCTCCATATATAGGGCTTCAGAAAAATGCCAACTGAAATGGTTTTTAACAAATTGATTTTCCACAGACTGGTCACCTTTCTCTTCTTTATTTACTCTCCTCCCATGCCTTGGGACAACCATTCAGATATGGCCTTCCATATTTGCTTCTTGTGTGATGCAAATATATAATGCATGTGTTTATATATGGGAGTTCTTTTTTTGTTTTTTTTCTTTTCGAGACAGGGTTTCACTCTGTCCCCAGGCTGAATGTAGTGGTGGCAATCAGAGCTCACTATAGCCTTGACATCCTGAGCTGAAGCAATCCTTCTACCTCGCCCTCCCAAGTAGCACCACTGTGCCAGGCTAATTTTTTATTTTATTTTGAGACTGGGTCTCACTATGTTGCCCAGGCTTGTCTCAAGCTTCTTAGCTCAAGCAATCCTCCCACCTCAACCTCCAAAAATGCTGGGATTACAGGCGTGAGCCACCACCCCCACCTAGTTTGTTTTTTCAAAGTAGCTTCTTATACATATTTTCTAGACACTAATTTTTATTTCAGCAATATAGTATGGGTATTCTTCCATGTTAGTGTGTAAGATCTAGTTCTTCATTACTGACGTTGGAACTTTTCAGTTTAATTTGCATTGCACAATTATATTTATTAGCTTGATTTAGCTTCCAGTATTCCTCCTCTTTGCTTGCTCTCTTCTTCTGAAAAGAGGAACTAAGGCATGCTCCAAAGGAACTGTGAAAATTGATCAGACAAACTGGGTCATTTTTGTCTTACTCAACTAAAACAGAGTCAAGAAG